CTCTAAGTAATGAGCAAGGATATCTCATGAAGGTACATTAGAAATGTTAAAATCGTAAGTGCTCGGAAACACACAAGTAATGCACTCGTAGTAAAACTGAATCATGCAATTAAATGTAAGCACACATCATCCCAAAAGGTCGGTGGAATTTTGAAACCAACCATCAGCTGAGAAAGAGATAGGACTAGTTCGTGCACTCAGGGTGCTGCTATTAATACCAATAGTAGACAGGTAAGTGGGCCCTGTCAGAAAAGAAGCGAACGAAATGAAGAGAGAAGCAGTCTTAAGAAAAAATGTAAACTACCTGCGTTGTCAACCAGGAGCTGGGCTGCGGCTTGATCACTACCCGCTTCGTTGTCCACGATACATTGGTAAATCCCTTGATCAGCCTTGACAAGGCCAAGAATGCGCAGTCTAAACTTTCAACAACCTAATTGGAACTATGTAGTGACAAATCGGATCGTACCTAGTTGGTTCGATGACAAAGTAGTGGCTGGCAATAATGGCCTCGCCGTTTTTGAACCATGACACAGTAGGGGATGGACTTCCCGTTGACAAACATTCAAACTGAACATGACCATATGCTAATATCATTGGCATTACGAATTGAGCGAATTGCAAAACAAAAAGCAAAACAACCTATTACCTCAACGTCGGCTGTCTCCAAAGCCGCTTTACTTTCAGGGCGTGCGGTTAGCTTCGGCTCCACTGAAAAGAGATACTTTCAAACTGTTATTAGAGCAACGACTGTGCAGACAGATTAAAAATTAACCAAGCCTTTTCTGCAATAAATTTTGCCGTAAAATCAAGAAATCAATAAGCTTTGACAGCTAGTTAAAGCAACGAATTCATGATTTCCAGAAATTTAATAATGGTACATATTGAACAAGGGAGTCAATACCCCTTGAAAAGATGATCCTGTTGACAATGCGAGACGGCGGTGAATTTGCTTAAAATTAACTCCTTCTTTCACCTGCCACATGAACAGCAACTGTCCGGTCAAGAGAATCGAGAGTATTGCTTGCTCTGCAGGTATACAACCCAGAATCGGTGCCCATCAAGTTCGACAACAACAGCGAGGAAATCCCAACACGTCTAATTCTTACTCCATCAATGGCTACCTGACGAGTATCTTTCAGCCTAAAGATTAGTTAAATACTACAATATTAACTAAAATCAGCCCAAGTGAAAAAAAAGCAAACAAAGAAGGATAAGAAAAGGGGACGCACTTTGATAGTAGAAGTATGGGTACTTTAATTGACAAATGATTTTAACAAAAGAATGCGTTTTGCGAAAATCATCACGGTATGCTAAAATCTTGCCGGTAAGAATATCTCCTACCTCATAAGGATCGACCGATTCAGAACGGCCCACCCTTACAACGCTTATAAGCGCAATAAGAATCGGCCAATCAAGGGCGCGCTGCGGTTGCGTTGCTGC